GGATTTTTCAACCTTGGCACATCTGGAGCTAGATAGTCCATTGTGGTGGGTTGTGCTGTGCATTGTATGGTGTTAGGCAGCATCCCTGGGCAGCATCTATACTAGATGCCGGTAGCCACCTCCCCACCCCCAAGTTGTGACAACCAATTTCCAAACACCAGATGTCTCCTGGCTGGGGGAAAAAAAAAATCACTTCCAGTTTAGAACTACTGGTCTACCATAATCTGCTGCTTGTCCTCTTTACCCTAAGTAATTCTCAAAGTTGTCCACAGTAAGGCAGTGGTAGAACCTGAAGCAGAGCCCAGGAATCTTAGGGCCAAAGAGAAAAGAATGGAACTTGGAACTGAGGTATCTCCAAGGGAGCAATGGATTAACAGTAAAGTTATGAAAACGGAATGTGGTACCCTTTGGGATGTCAGGCTGGCATCCTTGCTGGGTCACTCCCCTCTAATGGTAAATCAAGGAGCAGCCTCCAGGGAAGGTGATTCCCTTTATTTCCTGTGAAGCTCCAGGAGCCTAGTTTTTGCCAAGGGGCTGGGAAGAATTTCCCTTGATCACGAGCGCCAAACAGCCTTGGAATTGCTGGACTTAAAATCCAAATCAGCAAGGTTGGGAATGTGGTTGGGCCTAGGGAACCCTAGAGAGTCAGGGGAGAATGCTGCCCCACCCCCAACAGGGCTAGTTAGTCCATTACCATTGAGATTCTTTAGGGTCTACAGTAGAGGGTAGAACCATCTTGCTAGTGCAAAATACTTATGACTGGATACAGAGTGTATTATTCTTAGGCGAGGATCCATTGTTTTCATTATATTCTCAGAGGTAGTGACCAAAAAGAATTTAGTAACCCCTCCTTAGGAGTTCAGCATGGTAGCAAGGAGCACAGAGGGGAATGTAAACGCCATCCCTGCCACTTACTACCTGGGTAATTCTCTCCCCTGAGACTCGAGTTTCTCATCTCTAAAATGGGGATAAAAACAACTTAAGTGGTTGGGACAACAAAATGACATGATAGGTAAATATATGCAAATAATGATAATACATGCAGTATATGCACTGTGGTATTAATGAGATACAAGCAACGTTAGAATGTATTCAGAGAGATGTAATAACACGTATGTGACTAAAATTTTTAAGGGAGTACCTGGCTGGCTCAGTTGGAAGAGCGTGCAACTTGAATCTTGGGTTGTGAGTTTGAGCCCCACGTTGGGTGTGGAGATGAAAGAAATTCAATCTTTTTAAAAATTTTCTTTAATATAGCTATTATTACTTGCACTCAGAAGCCGCAAAACCCCAGTCCAAGTTCTGATTTTTCCTTTCAGTCCAGGAGTTATGACCTGGATGGGAACTCTTCATCTATCCCTGGCATTGAGCCCAGGACAAAAGGCTGGGCCTTGTAGGGGAAGGACTGCTCCTGAGGGACACAGAACTTTGGGGAAGGGGGAAAAAGATCTTCGTGATTTCTCATTTTAGAGAGAGTTGGGGCACAGCAGTGACCTGAACTCTAGGACACTTGCTGGCCTCTGTCCTTGGGGGAGGACACTTGCCTAGTTGCCGTGAGCAAGGTGCTACCAAACTTGGTTGCACTAAGAGATGGCTCAATGCAGGGCAGTCCAGTGCTGTGGAGGAGAGAGAGGCTTGGATCCAAATTCCTGTAGGAAGACTGCCTAGTTGTGTCATCCATCCCCAGAGGACATGGGAGAGGCTCCAGAAGGCACACTCTTGCTCTCTAGCCAAGCGGCCAGAAAAGCAGCCAGGTGTTGCCTTGAAAAAGTCAGTAAACACTGGACTAAGTAATGCCAGCTTATAACACTCCGCTGCTAGCCTCTCCTTGGCCCTTCCTCTTCCCGGCTTAGAGGCTTCCTGGAGCTCCCTTGGAAGGTGGTGAGCTGGTCCTTTCAGCAGCTGCCGTGCTCTACGGCCCTTCGGGCCTTGACTTGCAGATTCCTTGTGCAAGCCTGGCTCAGCCCTTTGGAAAGAAAAACAGGCATGTCTGAGGAGGAGGAGGAGCTGAAATTCTAGAGATCCATGGCCAGGGGAAGGACAACTGGCTACCACGTCCTCATTTCCGCTCTGTTCACCATGTCTGCGGCACTCACTGAATGTCAGTTCCTAGAGATACAAGATTGGTGCTCCAGGTTTTCTGCCCTAGAGTATATCGCACGTAGTAGCTAGACAGATGAGTAACCAAACCAGTAAAATAAAAAGTAGTATGTGCTACAATAAAGGTATGAATTATTCGAGGATGGAGTAAATTAAATGACTAATTAATAGTAATAATAAGAATACACCTGGAGGTGCTACGACTTGGCAGAGAAGGTAGTATTTCAGCCTGCCTTGAAGATGAGTAGGAATAATAAGAGTTAATAATTATTGAACATTTACTCTGACCAGGTATTGTACACATTCATTATCACATTCTCTCTCTTTTTAAAAAAGATTCATTTATTTAGATCTCTCTTTAGAGAGAGCACGTGAGTTGGGGGGAGGGGCAGAGGGAAAGGGAGGAAGAATGCCGAAGAAGACTTCCTGCTGAGTGTGGAGCCCAACGTGGGGCTCGATCCAGGACCCCAAGATCATGACCTGAGCCGAAATCAAGAGCTGGCCGCTTAACCGACAGCCACCCAGGCGCCCCACGTTAGCTCTTCTTTATAGCTACTTTTGTTTTACCAATATTACTGATGAGGAATAGAGGCTCAGAGTTCCGGTAACTAGGATTTCCCCTGGTAGAGTAGAGGGAAAGAGTATTCCAGGTAGAGAAAGAGCAAAGGCCTGGAGGAGAGACAGTACATGGGCAAGTGGGATGCCAATTATTTGGACAGTGCTTGCCACTCTACAAAGCACTTGTGGAATTGTCACACTTAATCCTCAGAAAAACCCTAAGAGGTAAGAATTAGCACCATTCTGTGGATGCAGAAATAGGCTCAAAGAGGCTATTTGTAGAGTGGTACAGATCAAAAGCTGGAAACTCTTCTGGATCCAAGGTAAGTGTTTTATGTCCACTGAAAACAATAGTCCAGTAGTAAGGGGAGGACCACACGGAGAATTCCTCTCCCCCATGGGCCATCTTTGGGCCTCTGCAGACTAGAGCCGTGGAGGAGCAATGGAACAGTGTTCTTTGTGTGAGGTTATCAGTGAATTGACTTTTGACCACCTTACTAAATAAATAATACCCAAACAAAATTCCAGAATCCTTTAAAAATGAATAAAACCTAGTCTGAATAGGCAATAGATGCACAGTACAATATTAAAAAGGTACACGTACATACACACCCTTTGGCCCACCTTGTCAGCGATCAAACCATCCAGAGGCAACCACTATTACCAGTTTTTTGTGTATCCTTTCATAGATATTCTGGTGTCCTTATTATAGAGTAGTAGAACGCTATACCAACAAAACATGAAATCTATATAAAACATTGTGTTGATTCATTTTACTTCATGTTAAGCACCTCAACTGTACCAGGCCCTCTGCTGGATTCACAGACAGTACATGCTCAAGAGCCCCAACAGTGTGTGTGTGTGTCTGTGTGTCTGTGTGTTGTGGGATAGGGGTTGGGAGCAACAGGTAACGAAGGACTACATGAAGTAAAATTCAGTAAGTATGGGCGAGCTCCAGGCTGCGACAGTATCACACAGTGGTCAGAACTTTTTCTCTGGAGTCAAGACAGATTTGGCTTACAGCCCCAAATCTGTTGCTTGCTCTCAGTGTGACCCGGGTTAAGTGACATAACCTCTGTAAGCTTCTGTTTTTCCATCTGTCAGAATGGACTAATAATAGTACTTACTTCATAGTGTCATTGAAAGGAATAAATAAGACAAAGTATACAAAGTGGCACATATTAAGCACTCAATAAATGACAGCTAAAGAAACAAATTTTTAGCCTCAATAAGTGTTGGCTATTACCCATTCAAGTCCACGGTCCCTTATTGAAAAATTCAGGAAGCAGTGTAAACTGGAATTTTCTTCTAAAAACCAGTTTGGGCAGCAAAATATAACACAGAGTGAGGTTATTTGTTTGATGTGGTTTGAATATTCATAAATGTACCCAAATTAACATGAATATTCATACACTTTGCTGTCGAAATATCAATGTTGGGTTACTGGGAGCTGCCCCAGACCTTATTGGGAGTGTTACTCTCAATTCTGAAATGCATCTGGTCAAGAGTTTCCGGACAAGATTATGAGCCTGTGTTCTTGCTAGAGAGAAAAGAGAAAGCCTTTTTTAGAGGAGGCTTCTGTTTTTCTTAGTCCATAGTATGCTATATCACCTTACAAATCCCAGGAAAGCCCTGAGGAATCCTCCCAGGATTTAAAACTCACAGCCCCTTGATTCCTGTATATTCAAGGACTTGTGGGAAGAAAAAACTGAGCTTGGAGTCAGGAGGCCTGATTTTCTTCCTTTTACTAAGCTTCTCTAGGTCTGTTTCATTATCCCTATGGCAACGCCTAGCAACAGTGCCTGGCATTTAGTAGCCCCTTCATAAATGTGTATTGAATAAACTCTAAAATGAGGTCGTTTTTCACTCGCGGGTTCTGATTCCTTCCTCTTGGTCCTGTTGCAGGCAGGGGGCAATGGCAGCCTGCCCTCCGTGGGTGACGGTGCGGGGAACAAAAATAAATTACAGAGGTTTTCAGACAGGAAAGAGTCCTGAGCAAGTCGACTCATCTATCGGAACCTCCCCCAAGTGGGAAGCTCGATCCCCAATCCTATCCCTTGGACATGACTGAAGAGGGTCTCTCTCGTTAAGGGTGGGGATATAATCCTTCCTTCCTCTCCTTGCCACACTTGAAAATAAAATATTGCACGGCTCTGGGCTCTCAGCCGCACCTCGGCTACCCGGCACGCTTCAGAGCCTCCTCCGGCAAAGCGGGGGCCAACGCGGGCCCAGGGCCCTGGCTCCGCCGGCTAGTTCCCGCCCCCTCTCGCCCTGGAGGACCGTGGGTGGACGCTCTTGCAAGAACGCCTCTCGCTGGTCGGGCGGGGGTGGGCGGAGCCAGCGCCGCCCGGGCTGTGGAAGCCGAGGGTGGGGACACTCTGGCCCGGCTCTCGGTGGTGCGGGAGCTGGAGGGAGCAGCGGCCGCTCTGGTCGGCGGACGTGCTGCCGAGCAGTCCCGGAAGCGAAGCAGCGATGGCGGAGAGTCCAACTGAGGAGGCGGCGACGGCGACGGCGGGCGCCGGGGCGGCGGGCCCCGGGGCGAGCGGTGTCACCGGTGTTGTTGGCGTTAGCGGCAGCGGGTTCGGGCCGCCTTTCCTGCCGGATGTGTGGGCGGCGGCGGCGGCGGCGGGCGGGGCCGGGGGGCCGGGGAGCGGCCTGGCTCCGCTGCCCGGGCTCCCGCCCTCGGCCGCTGCCCACGGGGCCGCGCTGCTTAGCCACTGGGACCCCACACTCAGCTCCGACTGGGACGGCGAACGAACCGCGCCGCAGTGTCTACTTCGGATCAAGCGGTGAGCCGGGGTTTTTCCTCCCCCAGCCCCGAGCTCCGGGGCTCGACCTTCCCCGCCCCCCCTTTCCCACTACACCCCCTCCCGCCCGCTGCCTCCGCGCTTCCCTCGCGGAGGCCCAGCTCCAAGGCCCACGTCTTGCCAGCCCGAAGCGTCGCGATCCGAGTCCCCTGTTCCCCCCCCCCCCCCCCCGCCCGCACCTCCACACGCACCAAACCCCTCCTCGCGTGCCCAGGTCCGACCCCGCCCCTCGGCTACCTCCCTTGAGCCCTCCGTCTCGGTGCCCGACACCCTCCCCCATACCTCCCGCCCGAAACCCGACCCTTTCGCGCTTCAGCAACACCCCCTCCCGCCTTCCGCGCCGCCTCTCTTCCCCCCTTCCCCACCCCAGCCTTGCGAGATGCTGCCCGGAGGCCCCCCCCCCTCCCCCCCCCCCCCCGCGTCGTCTCCTCCAGGGCCCCGTTTGTAACACACGTAGAGCTTGCTTTTCGTCGCTTCAGAGTCGAGGCCAACCTTTCTTTTTATTCCCCATATCCTCAAGCCTTCTCCCCAAGTCTAGATCGCTTCCCTCACATACCCGCAGTCTCCCCTTGAACCACTTCTTCAGAACCCTAAAGCTCTCCACTCTCACACCTGTTCCAGGAATGCAGGCTTTCTCCCCCCAGTCTCACTCTGGTTTGTATTATCCCACTCAACACTTTTGTATTCTTTTCTCTCGGTCATTTGGTTTAGTTTGCTGAAGTAAATATACCTAATTCAAATATAGGAACAAAGGCCCAAGTCCTTTCTGTGCTTATTTCTTGGGCGACTGATCTTAGATCCTATCATTTAATAGATAATGTTTCTGCAAAAATGCTTAGCGCAGTACCTATTGCATAGGAAAAGAGTAATGCTTTTTAGCTGCTACTAATCCTGAAAACGGTTTCCTGATGACCCGTCTCTGCTTCTCCCTGTGCCCCTCTGCTGCAGCCACCCTCATCTAGGTAATCTCACCCTCCCGCCCACCCAGACTCCAAGTCCCTTCACATGTCTCTACCTACCTTTCAAGATTGTAGTAGCAATTAAACCGCTCGTTGAATTAAACAGCTCATTGTATGTAAATTACGCGGCCCAGTGCCTGACACAGACACCAGCTCCGTTAGGGTCCATCAGGGTCGCCACCTCTGACTTCAGAACCTCAGCGCTCCCCTCTGCTCCTGTCCTCCATCCCCTTCAGTCTGTCAGTCCTGGCTTTTACCTTTGAGTTCTGCCAATCACTTGTTTGCACTTTACATCTCTATGTACCCTACCAGGTCTTTTTCTACGTAGAATGTTCTTTAGACCCTCGTTCACAATGGATGCATTCTAGATTGTGCGATACAACCTACAAATCCTTTCATTTGTAGTAGCCGCTGCATGTCATCTTTCAAATGTGAGACTCTTCAGCAATGTCAGAGGGTACCCTCTCCAATCTGAAGAGATCTCTATCCTGTTGGTGCCATGGGCAGGAAGACCCTGATTGCTCCTTGCTAGCTCACTTGCTTCATAGAATCCCCTTGCCAACAACGGTCCACTGTTTATGGGATTCGCTTTTTTAGTGGAGGCGATTATGTCTTCCCAGTTACTGAACAGTCTTCATTTAGCATTCAGTCGTAGTACCTGGGAATCTCGGAGGTGGGGAGTGAATGAATTGCCCTGTGGGAGGAAGAGAGAGTAAATGGGATGTGGCTTTTCCAGGGTGACATCTGATGCCATTGGGATCTCTGATTTTTTCCCCCTCCCCCTGAGGAAACAATGCCCTTTTGATAATAATTTGCTCTCTGCTTGCCTGACAAGTACTCAGCTGAGATTTCTCAGCCAACAAGATAGTGAAGACATTTGTGGTACCAAGCACCACTTTCTCAAACCCTGGCCTCACTGAGGTGATAACAACTGTCCTGCTCAAGGGATTTCCCTTTTTTCTCCTCTCCCTCACTCCCTTCCCCACCTCCTCTTGGTGTTATACAGGGATATCATGTCCATTTATAAGGAGCCTCCTCCAGGAATGTTCGTTGTACCTGATACTGTTGACATGACTAAGGTATGTAACTTGGAGTGGGGTGGGGGCTATTGGGAGATTGGGCCCAGAAAGTTGGAAGATCCTAAAAGATTATCCAGCTCACATCTCTGATAATATAAATGGATAAATCAAGATCCCAAGAGAATAAGTGGCTTGCCCAAGGTCACACAGTGAGGTGGAGCAGAGCGTTGAACAGGTGTCTTTTATTCTGGTGCCAGTAGATCTGGTTGACTTGGAAAATCCCCATTTATGCGTCTTGTCCCAGCTTAACTAGTACCAGGCCACTCTTTCACTCTTAAAACTGCTCCAGTTAGGCCGATAAATGATAGTCATCCTATTCACTTTACTACCCAATTCTTCCCTCATCCTGTCACTCTGGACTCTTTAAGTATGGTGCTGTAAATCAAATGCAGCGAAGATTGGGGATGGGGCAGACCGGAATGAACAGAGTTTATACTCAAAGGGCCTTGTTCAGGCTCCTGTCTTTACTGGTTGCTTTTGAATATCCTTTCCACCCCCAAAACCATTCCTGTCTTGTCCTCCACACACAAACACAGAGAAGTTGAAATTCCCCTGGCTTAGATACCTAGGCTTCTCTGTCATTGAGTGCTGTACCCATGGAAGTGAATTTTCACTTAAACTGATGTTGGGAAGAAATCAGATTTCATAAATCTAATATTGTTTAAATGAAAACTCTCCATAGTTTAAAGTTTCTTACAGTAAAAGTTCAGACATTGTATTGTTGGTATATCTGTTTTGCTTCAAATAAGTTTCCCTGTAAATTGATTTTTTTTTCTTTTTTATGTGGTTGGAAATGTTTTTCCTGGGACATTTTGTCCTCAATCAAGCATCAGTGTTAATATGCTAGTTCCGAGGGTCCCAGAATTGATGTCCTGTGATGCCATTTGAGCTTGCCGTTCCAGAAGACTGAGGGCTAAAAGATAGTCCGGGGTGCCACCAGGGCAAAGTAGGGACTGAGGCATTGGATTGCAGGTCCTTTTTCGTCTTGCTGTTTAAATTCTGAGCAGACTGGAGTGCCTCGCAGCCTTTGTAGGAGAAGAAATATAACAGTTGAGGTTTTCCTCCTTTCAGGAAGGGAAAGCTTGCTCAGTAATCGTGGCTGGAGGAAAAGAGTTTAGCGTTCTGTTTTCAATGCTGCCGGTTTTTTTTTTTTTTTTTTTTTTTAAGTTAACCAACAGTGTTGGGGAAATTTCTGAGGATGGTTTAAGGGCCTCAAATGGACCCTGAGTTTTCCCGTTTTTCTTTATATCTTTGATACAGCAGTAGGTTTGATCCTCTGCGGAGGCAGCAGACACCCAGGGCCTCCATCAGGCCCCTCAGCTCTGCACTTTTCCTGGCACTGCTGGGGTGGCCTCCAATCCCTTTGCTCTTTTCCGTTCATCTTAGTTCCCCTTTGTGCCACATACACATCATAGGCGTGTGTGACCTAGGCACATCCAAACAGACGTGCTCAGTAAAAATATGTATTCGTTTCTTCAAATTAAACATGCTAGGATAATATTTTACAGGTGCATATTTTAATTTGCGCAGTGGTGTTCCATGTAGATTTGTTATATGTGTGTGTGTATGTGTGTGTGTGTGTATATATATATATATATATAAAACATGGATGAGGGAAATCTAAAGAAAAAACCATGGATGAGGGAAATCTAAAGAAAAAACCATGCTGTCGGGGAGTTTTAAGGGACACTCAAGGGTGATTTTTGATTAGATTCAATTTTCACCTTGGGCTCTAACTTTAGAATGTAACCCCCGAGTAAGATGCCACTCCACCGTAATGGGATTTCTTAAAATTCCAAGCATATGTACCAGTATGAGTGCGTGCAGGCTTTTTATCCTGCATGGTGAAGATCTGGAATATGAATGCCGGCTGAAGGTCCTGCTTCTGGTGTGGGTAACCCGTGGAAGCCAGGAGGGGTTGGGATGGGACATCACCTCACAATTTTGAGATGGGGTTTTATTTTGCAGATTCATGCATTGATCACAGGCCCATTTGACACTCCTTATGAAGGGGGTTTCTTCCTGTTCGTGTTTCGGTGTCCGCCCGACTATCCCATCCACCCACCTCGGGTCAAACTGATGACAACGGGCAATAACACAGTGAGGTTTAACCCCAACTTCTACCGCAATGGGAAAGTCTGCTTGAGTATTCTAGGGTAAGAGGAGACTCTTCTAAGGGGCCACGTTGGTTGTTAGCAAATAACTCTGCTCCAGGCCAGCCTTTGTCAACCAGCGTTCATCATCAGAAGCACAGAAAACGGTTGGGGTGACTGTTTCCTCAGTTCTCCCCAGGGTGGTACGCGACTGGTACCATTCTAGGTGCAGAAGAGAGAGGTTCATTTATGACCTACAATGGATGCCTTAGTGAAGTGATTCTCCCTGAGCAGCAACAGCAGCCGGGAGCTTGTAGCCCTGCAGATTCTGGGGTTCCACCCTAGACTTCCTGTATCAGAAACTCTAGGGGTAGGCCCCAGCAATCTGTGTCTTACAAACCCTCCAGGTGCTGCTGGCGCACACTCCAGCTTGAGAACCCCTTCCTCAGGGCATCAGGGCTTAATTCTCTCCCGAACAGGTTGAGAAAGGCTGCAGATCTGTGCCATTTAAGATTGTGGGTGTCTTGTTTCTGTGTCTCTCAATGAGTAGCTTTGGAGGCGGTGGTGGTGATGAAGATGATTATGATATTTTAACAACTGAATGAAAAATGTCTAAGGTTGGAAATCACATCAGATAAGAAACATGGGTTTCAAGTACATTTTGTGTCTGGGTGCTACCGAAGATCGTGCTTCATGTGGTTCTCATTCGTTCCCTTTTAATTTCCTTTGGGGGTTAAAAATTCAGAATGGAAATGTCTTCTTACGTTTTCTGGATCTGTCTTGTTCGTGTGGTCTGAATTGCCCCGGAGCAGAGAACAAGTGCAGGTTGAAGTTGGGAAAGTCGCCCAAACTGGTGGTGCTGTTTTCTTTCTTGTCCAGCATGTTTCCGAGTATGTGGGGGGGGGGGGGGGGGGAAGGCAGCAGACCCAACTGGAGGCATGATTTATTTTATTTATTTATTTTCTTAATCTCTCTGATCCAGGGATATGTTCTGCGATGGTGGCAGTGAGGAAGTCCTTCGAAGGAGGTTGTTCTTAAAGAGGTCCTTTATGTTGTTAGGGTCTTGGTCTCTGCTGGTAGGACAGCAGTATATGTAGCCCACAGCGGTGAGGATACTCACTTGTTTCTGTAGTAGGACACCCCTGCGCGATGGTGTTTTTGTTCTAGGTTCCCATTAGGCCAGGATAAAACTATTTCGAACAAACATCAGCTCACAGTAGAACCAGGGGAAGTAAGATGGTGGGGTAAAAGTGGCAGAAGCGTGTTGGGTGGAAAAGGAGAAGCTACCCTCAAGTTGAATTTTGACCATGAGGAATCACAGGGTAGAAGATTCCCGTGTGTTCTTAGTTGACTGTTTGCTCTGTCAGCCTCAGTCCTTTCCTCCCTACCTAGAAAAAAAGATTGGGGCTGCCTTACTGACAAAAGAAATGTAGTAAAAATGTACCTTGTCTTGCTGGCTTGCCTCCCCGAATAGGTGAAGTCTTAGCGCAGAGTCTGGCGTTCCTGGAGGAGCAGAGCTGAGGGGAGCAGGCGGAGAGGCTCGGAAGAGCAAGCCTTGATGATGATGATGATGATGATGATGATGATGATGAGCTTGCTTAACTGAACTCTCCTCGAGTGTAGCAGGGAAAGGGAATTGGCCAGTGAACTTGAGCAAGTCAGTCTTGGCCTAGGTTGTGTTCAGCTTCCAGATCAGGTGCCATCTCTTCAATTAATTGAGCTAAAATGTCTTTAATGTCCAAGCTGCACTCCTCCTCCCAGGACTCGGTCGGCTATATGGAAGAGAGGAGCAATTCTGGTGTTTCTCTTTTATTCAGGATGGTTTCTATATATTATTTCCATATACTCCCTTCCTGTCCTTTGGCAGAGTTCTGTAGTCTTCAGAGAATCTGACACTCTTTGGGGGCGGGCTACAGAGCAGGATCCCTGAACGTCAGCCCCGCCACATGGCCTCTAACCAGATGGCTTCAGGCTCCCTTGCACCTCTGTGCTCAGCTTCTGTCCCCCCACTAACTCCTTCACCACCCGTAAATAAGCAAGCTCCGGGATCCGCTGAGGTTAACACTTAGACTGCCTTTGGTGTGGTTTTCTTACCTTATTTCTTCCATTTTGATGAATGGAACCTTCCCTAGCTACTGTTTCTTTCCTAGGCCAATGAAAATCCCTTCAAAGTTATCTTGCTTGCTTTACCCTCCTTTCTTTTGTCCCACTTGATAAGAGGATTAGGCAGTTGACTGATTTCTGGTGAATGAGGGTGAGACAGGCTGGGAAATTCCAGAGCATTAATAGTGAAAGAGAAAGTTGACTCACTGACGGGGGTGCTGCTAGGCCCCAGGGTGCTGGTGCACTGTGGCGGCCTTCACCATCGCTCGGGGCCTCACCCTCTGCCCTTCCTCTGCTGTGTTTTGCAGTACGTGGACTGGCCCCGCCTGGAGCCCAGCCCAGAGCATCTCTTCCGTGCTCATCTCCATCCAGTCCCTAATGACTGAGAACCCCTATCACAATGAGCCTGGCTTTGAGCAGGTAAGGCCAGGGGGCCAGCTGGGGGTGGAATACTGAGTTTGAAAAGCTCTGATAGGTCTGCTTAAGGGTCCTGTTTGTTTGGTTGGTTGTTTAATGTCACCATAGGAGAAAAAAGGAGCTGGTATGTGTGTTCCTTAAAAATGACTTTTTCCTCGTAAGTTACAATAACACTGTCAGGTTATTTCCATTTGACTTGGGTTAATCTACAAGGTGGGAATCAGTGGAGTCATCTGGAAATTAATTCAAAGCCTGATTTTGGGGGCTGTCGCAACCAGTGGGTTCTTCTGTCTGTGTCCATTCTCCCAGTAATCCCCTAAGGTACTTCCTAAAGTGACTGCTGCCCAGCCGGGGGTTCTTCCAGAGTTACAAAGTACTGTTAACTTGAACAGCCAGAGGAGCTGGTCATTAGCTAGTAGGGCAAGAATATTTTAGTCAACGCTGCCAAAGAGAAGGGAGAGGAAAGTTGCATTTTCCAGGGGTTATGCTGTATGCCAGCCACTGCCAAATTTTCATATATATAATATCTCATTTAACCTTTACGCTAACTTGGGTAGGGGCGCCTGGCTGGCTCAGTCTGAAGAGCAGGCAGCTCTTGATCTTGGGGTCGTGAGTTCGAGCCCCATGTTGGGTGCGGAGATTACCATCTTGGGGTAAATATTATCCCCATTTTCAGATGAGGTAATGGTGACATGGAGAGGTTAATTAACTTTCACAAAGATACATAGATAATGGTGGAATCCAATATTTGCCCTGGAGCGGAGAGTTTTTCCATTGTTCCAAAATGCCTTCCAGGATTACTCAGAAGTACAGGGAAAGAGTTCCACTGATAATCCCCAAAGGTAACAATTCTGTCTAGGTGATTAAAACAGTTTAACTCATTTTGAAACTTTCTGAGATAATGCTAACGTTGATGGTTCATTTATAGACAGGAACAATGGGAAATACCCTTTGAGAGTGAACAGAAGTTATTCCCAAAACCACCTTTCCAAACAAACAGTATATTTGATTTTAGGATTAGGTAGAAATGGAAAAGGGCCTCATTGGCTAACCAAGGAGCTGATTTTAAGGTCTTTCCTTTGTTTGGCAATTCAAGAGATGTGATTTTTATTCTTAATACTCCCAAACATTATTGGTTCAAAGTCCCTGGTATGTCGGTGGCTTTTTCACAGCTCCCCAGGCAGAAGGAAGTGCCCAGCTGTTCGTTTCTTAAGCAGTTAGGTCCAGACAACTCACTTCTTCCTTAAATAACTAAAATGGCTTAATGACAGAAAGAGTACACTTGTCGGGCACCACACAACTTTGAAGATCGTGGGATCTGATTGGATCCACCACCCTCATCTCTCTGCCCCACTGTTTTCATATGCTGCTTGCTATTTATCAAAGTAGTGATTGACAGTCCGGCTTCACAAAGATAATGTGTCATCGAACGGACTATAATGCAGTTTAACGTCAGAACTGACCCACTGAGCTCAAGCTTGTTAGTTTGCGTGATGTTTGACAGGTGGTGAATACTGTGGTTTTCTTCAAAAAGTTTAACGTATCCCACAGCACCCCTGTGATCTCACGGTGGTGCATTTTGGAGACCATGGTAGTAGACTGAGGGTATGTATGTCTTTTCTGTTCATGATGTGTTTTAATCAGAGGCCAAGGTTCTGGTTGCCGGGTTGGTGGTAGGAGGAGCATTGAAGAGAAAAGGAGGGCTTAAAGGATGGAAGTCTGTACTCCCTTCCGTCTGTACCCCACTTTCATAATGGCTTTCTCAATCAGCATGGGAGTTTTCTTTTGGAAACTTCAAGTTCTACTTCTGATAGATTCATAGTAATTTCTTTCAGTGATGGTGGAACCCTGCAGACATAAAAAGGAGTTAGCTGGGAAGCATCCAGATATTTACAGGGTTTTTAAGTGAGACTCCTAATGTGATGTGTACCGTTTTGTCCCACCACCATTCTTAACATTTGGCTCTTTGCCATCCAATCTTTACCTCAGAGGCCTCTCAGTTCAGCCTTAGGAAAAAAATTTCTAGTTTGCTGCTTACAATATGGGTGACCTGACTTGTAACAGAGGATGGGTATTGGCTTGCGTGGGAGGAGGTTAATGATCTCAAAAAGAAAAACTCAGTTGCACTTCATGGATCTGCGGTAGTTGGATAGGTATCTTCCCGGTTTGTTTACTTGGGTCATGTGCCCCATATTAATCCTGAAGTCTCCTCCTGTTGACTTTTCTCTTTGCCTAAATTTTGTACTTGGACACTCTGGTGTCTGTTATATTACAGGAGAGACATCCAGGAGACAGCAAAAATTACAATGAATGTATCCGGCATGAGACCATCAGAGTGGCGGTCTGTGACATGATGGAAGGAAAGTGTCCCTGCCCTGAGCCCTTACGGTATGTGTGTGCCAAGAGCACCCACTTGGCACTTGGTGTTGCTGTTGGAGACTTAGCTGGTTCATACCTTTGAGAACCTTTGGGGCAAAATCCACTGTTGGGCGCCAGGGGAGATACAGAAAAATGAAAGCTGTGGTTCGTGCTTTCCAAGAGTGGTGGCTGAGGGTCTCTCGAGGAAGTTCAGAGAGCTGCTGTTCTAGGAGAGTGCCAAGCCTAGTGGGAAAGACATAGTCCATACCCTTAGGGAGCCCTAGTTTGGTAAGAGCCTGGACCTATTGAAGATCCTTATTTGTTCTATAGCCAAATGAGGTGTAGAGCCCTTCATAATGAATCCACTTCTCAGTGTTCGAGTTTATTTGTAAGTGTTCAAACTAGATAAACAAAGTCAAAGTTATTGAACCAAACTTCTGGAAGAATTTTGAGTAAGGTCTGGGATTAGGGATGGCTTATGGAAAACAAATGAGATTGAGTCATGAGTTGAAGTTGGGATTCGAATGATCTGTATTAACAGTCACCCTCCTTTAATAATCCCTAAGGTGTAAGAGAAATCAGCCTTGGGCTGTCAGCTGTTCTTTTTTACATTTTCCATTGAAAGATCTTTGTGAGGGGGGCACATGGGTGACCCAGTCAGTAGAGCGTCCGACTCTTGGTTTCAGCTCAGGTCGTGAGGTCGAGCCCCGAGTTGGGCTCCGCACTCAGCATAGAGTCTGCTTGAGATTTGCTCTCCCTTTGCCCCTCGTGCTCTCTCACTCTGTCTGAAATCATTAAAAAAAAAAAAGTCTTTGTGAGATACCAAATCTGGGCTTGGGAACTCTAATTGGGCAGAAAGGTTAGATGGTGAAGGGTTGATCCCTTCCCCACCACATTCCTAACTTAAGCTTCGCTGCTTGTTTTCCAGAGGGGTGATGGAGAAGTCCTTCCTGGAGTATTACGACTTCTATGAGGTGGCTTGCAAAGATCGCCTGCACCTTCAAGGCCAGACTATGCAGGTAATGCAGCCCCTGCCACTGACTCAGAGGCCTCACAGCAGATCACGTAAAATCCCCCCAAGGGAGAGCATCTGCATCTCTCAGAGAATTCAGAGCCAAAAGGAACTTGGTTCATTTAAGTCACTGCAGCCCAGAGAGGAGACCGACTTGCCTAACTCATGTGGAGTTGCTTCTCAATCTTGCCATAAACTTAGATGCTCATGAGTAGAGTCTGAACCGTCCTGCTTTCTAACCTGGAATGCCTTCCCTTCTTAGTAGTCTTTTCCAACCAAGAACATTCAGCCCTCTCAGAATCTTAGTGATGATAAGGGTGAGTCCTCTATTGAGTTCGGTCCCTAGCTCCGAGGGGTAAGTGCTCAGAGAACGAGGCTAGGGAAACACTGGGTGTGTGGTGGTATATGTTGAAAGATTCCTGTCACAAAGACAGTAAGCAGTTGTTTACTCTCTGCCTCCACTGGAGAAATGTGCTTCCACTTTCAGTAGGAATGCAGGATTTAGGCTTGTTTTATTTCTTTTTTATTTTTAAAGATTTTATTTATTTGAGAGAGAATGAGAAAGAGAGAAAGCCCATGGAGGGGGAGGGTCAGAGGGAGAAGCAGACTCCCTGCCGAGCAGGGAGCCCGATGTGGGACTCGATCCCAGGACTCCAGGATCATGACCTGAGCCGAAGGCAGTCGCCCAACCAGCTGAGCTACCCAGGCGCCCTAGGCTTGTTTTAAAGAGGAGATTCTTGGGGTACCTGGCTGGCTCAGTCAGTAGAGCGTGTGACTCTTGATCTCAGGGTCGTGAGTTCAAGCCCCACCTTGGGCATGGAGCCTACTTAAAAAAAAAAAAAAAAAGATTTTTACTAAACCAAATTGTAAATGGGCTTAAATATAAAAGACCTGGTTGGTAAGAGGGTGAGACTCCCCCTGTCCTGAAGGACCAGTTGTTGTGTCTTTTGGATCATTTACTGGTGGTCTTGCTTAGAATCGTGCTGACTTGGATGAACGCCTGAGGAAGGTTCTCTCCAGCTCTTCCTGAGCCGCTTCCCCCACCCAGGCCCCAGTAGCAGCAGTAGGCATAAATGTCTTCTTTCCTCAGCCGCTGCTTAGAAATGGTAGTTTCCCTGTCCTCCCTTCAAGGACTTCCCACCCATCTGCCACAGTAAAACTCAAAGGGCAGGGGCGCCTGGCTGGCTCCGTTGGAAGAGCATGTGACTATTGATCCCAGGGTTGGAAGTTTGAGCCCCATATTGGGTCTGGAGATTGCTTTAAAAAAAATAAAAACAAAACCTCAAAGGGCAAGGCCGGCTCAGCATTAACTTGTTCCTGACCCCTTTTGCAGAGTCCGTGATGCCTGCCATGGTTCATTCCCCAGGAATTCTCATTGCTGGTATTCAAAAGCGTTTCCAATATTCACTCTGTGGAGGAAAAATGACTCGTGATGAGAGAAGGAAAGGGAAGAGCAGCGTCTGGGGAGGAGGGAAGTGGGTGGAAATGGAGCCAAGGATGAGAAAAGGAAGATTTGAAAAATTGACAGCTCCAGAGTAAGTGTGGAGTTCAGCCGGTGGGGAACATAACCCTCGGAAGCGAAAAGCGTGGGCTGTAGTCACAGTGACTGACTTGTGTTCACTGGTCCCTGATCGTGAGGCTGATGTGTGGGCAGAAGCGTGGCAGGAGTTTATGTGGGAGGGTGCCTGGGTGGCTCAGTCGTTAAGCATCTGCCTTCGGCCCAGGTCATGGTCCCAGGGTCCTGGGATCGAGCCCCGCATCGGGCTCCCTGCTCAGCGGGGAGCCTGCTTCTCCCTCTCCCACTGCCCCTGCTCGTGTTCCCTCTCTCTGTTGAAAAATAAATAAAATCTTAAAAAAAAAAAAAAAGAGTTTATGTGGGAGAAGCAGAATATGAGAGGGCAAAGTCGTGTACCTTTTTGTGACTCAAGAGGTCTTCACTTGTCCAAACCCTGGCCGTGTGCCCCTTTGCTGCCATGTCCTCTGTATAGCATTGTACGTTCCTTGTGTTTATGCCCTCCACTCCAGCCCTGGTTATTCTTGAGATTTTGAGGACAGTTAGCACAAAACGTTTGGAGACGTTTGCTGTAGGGTGACAAGGACTGGGACCAAGGCTGGTGGCCCCGGAGTGACAGCTACAAACCGGACAGGAAGGTGGTGGCAGGTCTCTTGGGAAGAGCGTACGGGTGCTTATTGGGAAGTCAGAACTCCTGAGTTCCTACACGCCTGTCAGGTGGGAAAAGCAAATTTTCCTTTTTGAATATAGGGGAAGAAGGGTGATACTTCCCTTACGTGGTTTTTATGAAGTTAATTGAAGATACAGGCACAGTTCTGGTCTTGGATTTCTGCTTCTTGCCTGCCTCGCCTTTACCGTGACCCTCACCTGCATAGTGGCCTTGCTCGCAGGGAACAAAAACACATTTTAATGTTGGCCCAAGCCAGACCCGCCTGGGTGGTTGACGCGCCACACTACTCCTGAGCGGAGGGTGTGCTGTCTGCCGCAGGAATCTGTCAGCGCTCTCCTCTCTACTCCCGCGGCTCGGAAGTGGAGCGTGCGTCCAACATGGGCCCGAAGCTGCTCTCTCTAGGGTGAGCCACCCAGACTCGAATCTTCCATCCCGCTTGTCTCCTTTCCCCCACAGGACCCTTTTGGAGAGAAGCGTGGCCACTTTGACTACCAGTCCCTCTTGATGCGCCTGGGACTGATTCGTCAGAAAGTGCTGGAGAGGCTCCATAATGAGAACGCCGAAATGGACTCTGATAGCAGTTCGTCTGGGACAGAGACAGACCTGCACGGGAGCCTGAGGGTTTAGACCCTGCTCCCTTCTCCCCTCCCCCCACTCAAGAGTCCCAGCAAAGTCCCTTCCCCCCCACCCCAGGGACGGAGAGGCACTGTGTATCTCCCTCCAAACGTGACGTCATCCTGCAAGATGGCAAGAACCAAGCAAGCTCGGATCCCAGGGTGTGGGAGTGGGGAGGCTGTTCCTGATCCGACCTCCCTGGCTCTCGAGCATCTGGGGCTGTGTTCATCCCATAGCAGGGGCCAAGGTACCTATGCAGGAGCACCTAGGGCAAGGGGCCTCTGGCAAAAACCAACCAACCGACACACCTCTCCACAGGGTCAGCCCCTTAGGGGTAGGTGGGAGACAAACTGTAATTCCAAGAGGGAGTGTGCCCAAATGACTGATGGGGATATCTGGAAGGGAGCTTTGGGTGGGGGGCTGTCTGTGACACTTAAGCAGTCTGGGTGGTTGTCTGTCTGTCTTCAGTCTTGAAGCAGGGCTTCCCAATGCCCTTTTCCTCCCTGCCTCTTCTCCCATTACTTCCCATGGGCCAGCATAATTTTGTTTTTCCTAATTTATAGTCACTGTTCTAGACAGACCAAAGAGAAGGAACAGTGGTGGAGTCTGGGCTGCTGATCAGTAAGCTTTACCTAGCACCTGAGCACCTTTCTCCTCTGCCCCCTCATTCCCTCGCCCATTTCTAGATTTAAGACAGAAGGTAAACGTGACTGGGACTGAACCAAGGTCCTGGTAAAGCCGCACAGGCACCATGAGAAGCCGATTTTGTTCCCACAATCACTGATTTGAAAAGTTCCCACCGCAGCCAGCTACTGTGTGTGGGGGATAAGAGCCACTACATAGAATAGTCTCTTACAGATGTTCCTGAATGCTAGCCACGATGAGGCTATTTCTCCTGGGGGCGGGGTGCAGTGGGAGACTGATGCTAGTGCTGTTGTGTTTTGTTTGGCTGTCCTTGTGTATTTTCACCCCGGCCTCTAGTCACTCCCACCCCTCCCCCTCACTTCAGTGCCCAGGAACTTGTGGGGAGCAAGGGTTGGCCAGTGGCAGAGGGGCCGGGGCTGGGACTCTGGGCTCCTCCGCTTCTCTTGCCTCTCCCCCTCCCCGCCCTCCCAGCTGCTCTGTCACCGGCTCGGATGGGCGCTTGCCTGGCTGTGTTGCTTCTCTCTCTGTATCTAGCTGCAGTGATCCTTTAGCTGGTTGGCTCAGAAAAAATGTGCTTTAGGCAAAGCCCTGTGGTCCTGGGCACTGAGGGAATCCAGCCTTCCCCTTTCTGGTGTGTTCTCCCCATACTTTCCAGATTCTTATTGTTGTGGCTCCCAGTGGGGTGTTGGCGATCCATGTGCCGCAGGGCCTCAGTCAGTATCGGGCCAGTGTCCGGGAGAGGAGGACTTGGGCCTGCCCTGCCCGCTGCTATGGAGGCCTCTGCCTGTGGGTCGTGGGGCTTCCCGGGGGGAGTTCGGAAGGGGTTGGGCACAAAGGAGAATGTCCGACTTGGGAGGGCAGGAAGCAAACAAACTGGACAGGAAGTAGGCTTGGGGAACGGAAGTTTATCTCAGATACCTAAGGCTGGGCCTCCTAACAAGGAGACTCAAAAAGGGACCCTGCTTCCAATTTCCCTCTTCCATTC